CACCCTCAGCACTAACAGACAATACATACATAGCAGCAAGAATTGCCTCATAGTCAAGATCAAAGATAGGTACATCACGCCTAAGCAAGTCTGCCCAGTTGGGGAACTCAGGAGCATCAGGAAACTTGGCGCGCCAGGCGTCGCTAAGCCGAGCGAAGCAGCGCTGCTCAGTGTGAAAACCTGTGCACTGGCGACCAGCGCGGGGACCAGGACCCCCTGAAGCCCCACGCCCGGCATACCAGTCAAGAAGTTGCTGGGAAGTGGGGGTCTGGCGCTGACGCTGATGCTTCTGCTGCTGCTGCTGCTGCTGCTGCTGCTGCGGCTGCTGCTGGTCCTGACCACCACTGCCACCACCGCTCCCTCCTCCCCCACCGCCGCTGCTGCCCGCTCCACCGCTCCCAGTGCCTCCGCCGCCCCCACCACCACCTCCACCTCCTCCACCCCCACGACCACCCCCACCACCTCCACCTCCCCCGCCGCCTGCACCACCGCCACCTCCACCGCCACCCCCACCGCCCCTGCCACCCCTGCCGCCCCTGCCGCTGCGACGCTTCCCACTAGGAGCGGAAGCAGCTCCGACCTCCTCAGCACCAAGGTAGTCGTGAGCAGCAGCTGCGGAGGCGTAGGAGGGGGTGAGAGGGGAGGGGGAGCACCCCTCAAAGAGGGGAGAGCGAGGAGTGCCACGAGCAGCACCTACATCGAGGATGTTCTTCTCTGCTGCGAGGAGGTGCTTCTCGAAGTCGTCGACAGTGAGAGTGGTGGGGTCTAGTGCTAGGAAGTGGTCCCTGACAGAGCTAAGAGTGTCAGGGAGGCGGGTGACGAGGAAATAGAGAGTGAAGTACATCGGGGGGGGGGGGGGGGGGGGGTTGCGGCGCAAAACTCGGCTGAAAGGGCGGCACGAAAGCGAGCGTCAGTAGCGCGCAGGTGGGAAATGAGGTCCTCAGCAGTGGTGAACGAGGAAAGGTCGGGGAACAGGTAGGGTTGCATGAGCCGACCTATGGCTGCTGTGGCAGGGGAGGAGTAGCGCGCAACTACACCGTCGTACAGTGTCTTAGCTGTTTTGTGCTGGCTGAAATGCGCGCGCTCAGTAATCGGCAGATGGTTCCTAATAGCTAGGCGTGCAGCAGCATCGCGAGTCTGCCACTGCGAGCGTTCAAGAGCAGGAGCATCGGCAGCAGGAGCAACGGCAGTGCCAGACACGTAATCGAACAGTGAAACGCCCTCTTTAGCATCGGTCAGAAGGAACAGTTGGAGGTCGTCTAACCACACAGCGAACTCTATGGGGCGACCGTCAGGCTCGAACGCGAGAACGTTAGGCGTCGTCATAACGGCAGCAGGCAAAGGCAGTAGGCAGCAGGCAGCAGACAGGAGGCAGTAGGCAGCAGGTCGCAGGCAAAGACAGAGACAGCAGGCAGTAGACAGGAGGTAGCAGGCAGTAGACCGCAGGCTAAGACAGAGGCAGCAGGCAGCAGGCAACACAGGCAACTTGCAGGGCAGTAGCTTGCCGCACTCAAGCTCCTAAGTCGGCGTGCTACACAGCAGCAGGTCGCGCAGGCAGGCACACGAGCAGGGCACGCTCAGCTGCTGGCTAAGTGCCTCTGAGCAGCAGGCAGCAGCGGGCTAAGGCAGCGGGCTAGGCAGCAGCGGGCTAAGGCAGCAGCGGGCCGCGCAGGCAGGCACACGAGCAGGGCACGCTCGGTTGCTGGCTGCGTGCGGCTGAGGGCTGCGTGCGGCGACTGGCTAAGGCAGCGGGCCGCGCAGGCAGCACACGAGCAGGGCACGCTCGGCTGCTGGCTGCGTGCGGCTGAGGGCTGCGCGCGGCTGCTGTCTAAGGCAGCGGGCTAGGCAGCAGCGGGCTAGGCAGCAGCGGGCTAGGTAGCAGCTGGCTGCGCGCGGCTCCTGGCTGCGCATGGCGACGGGCTGCGCTCTGCTGCGGGCTGCGTGCAGCGGCGGGCTGCGCGGGTGTGGCCTAAGCAGGCTGCGCGCGGGCGGCGTAAGTGGCGCGCGGGCGGGGCCTACACGGGCTGCGCGGGCGGGGCCTAAACGGGCCGCGTGGGCTGCTTAAAAGGCTCGCGCGGAAAAACAAAAAAAAGGGCCGCGCGCGTGCACTCGAGGCGCGCGCGGGCAGTAGGCAAGGCAGGTAGGTAACACGGTAACCGGTGGGCCCTAATCCTAGGTCCTAAGGACCTATGCTCTAGATGCCATGTCAGAATCTTAGGCAAGGGTGGTGTGGACTATCGAGAGATGGGTACAAAAGAAAGAACCTAAGGGGTTGTACCCCACAGTGAGTACCCCACTAAAGCCTACCTAAATTATAACATATAAACATATGTTTGACACGGCCACACCAGCAACCTGTTGTTTCACCGCTCCACTCTCACAATTATATTGTTCGGCCACACCAGCAACCTGTTGTTTCACCGCTCCACTCTCACAATTATATTGTTCGGCCACACCAGCAACCTGTTGTTTCACCGCTCCACTCTCACAATTATATTGTTCGGCCACACCAGCAACCTGTTGTTTCCCCGCTCCACTCTCACAATTATATTGTTCGGCCACACCAGCAACCTGTTGTTTCCCCGCTCCACTCTCACAATTATATTGTTCGGCCACACCAGCAACCTGTTGTTTCACCGCTCCACTCTCACAATTATATTGTTCGGCCACACCAGCAACCTGTTGTTTCACCGCTCCACTCTCACAATTATATTGTTCGGCCACACCAGCAACCTGTTGTTTCACCGCTCCACTCTCACAATTATATTGTTCGGCCACACCAGCAACCTGTTGTTTCACCGCTCCACTCTCACAATTATATTGTTCGGCCACACCAGCAACCTGTTGTTTCACCGCTCCACTCTCACAATTATATTGTTCGGCCACACCAGCAACCTGTTGTTTCACCGCTCCACTCTCACAATTATATTGTTCGGCCACACCAGCAACCTGTTGTTTCACCGCTCCACTCTCACAATTATATTGTTCGGCCACACCAGCAACCTGTTGTTTCACCGCTCCACTCTCACAATTATATTGTTCGGCCACACCAGCAACCTCTTGTTTCACCGCTCCACTCTCACAATTATATTGTTCGGCCACACCAGCAACCTCTTGTTTCACCGCTCCACTCTCACAATTATATTGTTCGGCCACACCAGCAACCTCTTGTTTCACCGCTCCACTCTCACAATTATATTGTTCGGCCACACCAGCAACCTCTTGTTTCACCGCTCCACTCTCACAATTATATTGTTCGGCCACACCAGCAACCTCTTGTTTCACCGCTCCACTCTCACAATTATATTGTTCGGCCACACCAGCAACCTCTTGTTTCACCGCTCCACTCTCACAATTATATTGTTCGCCCACACCAGCAACCTCTTGTTTCACCGCTCCACTCTCACAATTATATTGTTCGCCCACAACAGCAACCTCTTGTTTCACCGCTCCACTCTCACAATTATATTGTTCGGCCACACCAGCAACCTATTGTTTCACCGCTCCACTCTCACAATTATATTGTTCGGCCACACCAGCACAGCAACCTATTGTTTCACCGCTCCACTCTCACAATCATATTGTTCGGCCACACCAGCAACCTGTTGTTTCACCGCTCCACTCTCACAATTATATTGTTCGGCCACACCAGCAACCTATTGTTTCACCGCTCCACTCTCACAATTATATTGTTCGGCCACACCAGCAGTGCCCTAGATATCAGACTTTGGAGTCTGAATCAGAGTCCGTTCAGACTTTTTTTTTGTACCTAGTCTGAACTCAAAGAATTTATTTATGTACCTTGTCTGATTTTCCAGAGTTTTTTCTTATGAGTTGTCTGAAATTTCAGCCTAATTTTACTAGGGTAGGCTGAGCCTCAGACTTGTATCGGGGGTACACTCTGCGCGCTTATCGGAGCGAAGTTTCCTGGAAGTTTCCTTCCGATATGCCCACTTCCGAGATGGCAGTGGAGTGCCAAGACGTGAGCAACACTCACTTCGACAGCTGGGACATCCAAATACACTCGTTCGTCGCGAATATCTTCCAGTTACGCTGAGGAAATGGTTGCGTGATTACGAGATTTCTGAAGACAAAATCTCGTCACATGTAAGTTATCGCTTATGTACTGTAAAGAATAGGCGACTTTGATGCTGATTCGCTGTAAAAGCATATGCAACACGCACTGGTGTGAATTGCGACGTTCCTGATTCGTAGTGAAAGTTTCGTGTGGCACTGTCTGATGCTCACATGCCACGCCAAGCAACAGTTTCTGCCTGCTGCCAGCTCAGCTGCGTGGCACTTGGCCCACCTGATACAGATCGGGTGCTCTACTCGGGTCGAGGGTGTCGCGTGGCACTTGGCCCACCTGATACAGATCGGGTGCTCTATTCGGGCCGAGGGTGTCGCGGGGCACTTGGCCCACCTGATACAGATCGGGTGAACGATCGCATCGCTTGAAAAGCAAATCCAAAACTGACAAAATCGGCACACATGCGATAAAATGGGTACAGAACGGTAATCACACACACGACAAAACGAAATGAGATCAGCAGCAGAGCAGAAACAACCATGCGCTGCATGTGACAAAAACACTGGAACGCCGCCGACATGAGCAGAGGCGATGCACGAGCACGAGCACGTTGCCTGATGCGTTGGTATGGTATGCTGTAATCAGCTTCAATGCTATTATAACTGCTTTTACGAAAGTGCATGAACATCTTAAAATTTGAAGTAACTCTGACAGTTCAGACAAAAAAAAATGTGCCTGTCTGAACTTTCAGACTAAACTTTTGAGGCACCTCTGACAGACAGAGTTACAGGAGGGGTGTACTCTGAGGCCTCAGACTACCTCAAAACGAATCTAGGGGCCTGCACACCAGCAACCTATTGTTTCACCGCTCCACTCTCACAATTATATTTTTCGGCCACACCAGCAACCTATTGTTTCATCGCTCCACTCTCACAATTATAATGTTCGGCCATACCAGCAACCTATTGTTTCACCGCTCCACTCTCACAATCATCTTGTTCTTCTTTCCTGAACCCAGCAGCAGCATGCTTCCCCCCACCAAATCCTCCTCCCCCACCACCCTCTCTCCCTCACTCCCCCCACCCCCCACCTTCTCATTGTTCAAATACATCCCCCCTTGCTGTACCAGCCGCCTCGCTGCCCCTTTGCTTCCCACCAGCTTCGACGCTGCTGCCACGTCAGCAACGGTTCGGCCAATCACGTCGGCCCACGGGAGCGAGGTGGAGGGTGCGTCAGCGGCTATGGCTTCGAGCGTGGCGGGGTCTAGTCTGGTGGAGGTGGAACCTGGGGGAAGGGGGGGAGGTGGGGGGAGGGGGAAGGGGGAAGGGATTTTGGCACCAGCGCATATGTGGGGTGCATTAACAGCGATGGATTCAAGTGTGGCTGGGTCTAGTCTGGTGGAGGTAGAACCTGGTGGGTGGGACGGGGGGTTTTGGGTGTATGGGATATACGCGAGTCGGCAATATACAAGTGCCGGCACTGCGATTACCAAGCACATGTGGCTATGGCTTCGAGCGTGGCTGGGCCTAGTCTGGTGGAGGTGGAACCTGGAGGAGGGACCAGGGATCAAGAGGGTTTGGGGGAAGGAATTTTGATGACACCAATGCATATGTGGGATGCGTCAGCAGCTATGGCTTCGAGCGTGGCTGGGTCTAGTCTGGTGGAGGTAGAACCTGTGGGGGGAGGGTGGGGGGGAAGACGGGGAGGTGGGGAGGGGAGGTGGGGGATGATGTCGAGGTATAGCAAATACAAGTGTCGGCACGGTGATTACCAAGCACATATGGCTATGGCTTGTTTTTGAGTCGACTCAAACATACACTCTAAAAGTGTCAGCACGGTGATTACCAAGCACATATTGCGATGGCTTGGAGTGTGGTGGGTCTAGTCTGTAGGTGGTGGAACCTAGAGGTGGGTGGAGAGGGGGTATAGGCGCGATCCAACAGGGTTTTGCGCCGACTCAAAACACACCATCTTGACACACCGTGATCCAACAGTGGGATGACTGGGTACGTCAAGAGATGGCTTTGAGTGTGCGGAGGTGGAACCTGGAGGAGGGGGAATTAGAGCTAGCCTCGAAGAGTGCATGAAGCAAGTATGAAGCGCAAAGGAAAAGAGCACCATCCACATTCTTTAGGCCCCCCAAAAAGCATTGAAGAGAGGCTGGGGATATGCCATTCTGACCTTGTAAACGCAGAAACCAAACATGTTCTGTCAATCACGACGGGTGCGACATTTGAGTGTCTATGTGGCGCAGTTGGCATTTGTGAGGTGGGTGTTATATGGAGCGGGTTGTACCTGGTGCAAGGGCTGTGCTTGCATCACTTGTGAGAATCCCCAAAGGCAGGTATTTTCTGGAGTAGGTAGTAGTACCTGGGGCGTTCTGAGTCGACTCAAGAGTCATGTGGGGTGGGTGTTATCTGGAGCAGGTAGTACCTGGTGCGAGGGCTTGTGTGGCTCGTAGTGCTTCTTGTAGGCCCTCCTCCCCATGCACGAAACGAGTCACCTAGAAACGGGGATGGAGGAACAGTAGAGAGAAGGATATGCAGAAAAAAAATATGTGTTTTTGTATCTGTACTGCTTGGATGCCCTGTTCCCCGTGCACAAAACGAGTCACCTATTAAGGAAGATATGCTGACCATGCCTACAGTATCACCCCCACCCCACCCCAGCCGCCCTCCTCCCTTGCCCCAATCACCACCACCCCTTCTCCCTCCCTTTGCTGCCTCCTTTCCACTCCCTGTCACCTCCACTTCTTTCTCACACCTTTCCCCCGCTACCGCCTCTCCCCACTCACCTCCTGCGCCAGTAGCTTCTGGGCAGCGTTCGGCTCGTAGCCCGGCTGGCACATGGCGGGCTGAAGAGCTTTGCACACGCCCCACTCACTCCCTCCCCCCACTTCCCCTCCTCTCCCTCCGCATTAACGCACTCACCTCCTGCGCCAATAGCTTCTGGGCGGCATTGGGCTCGTAGCCGGGCTGACACATGGCGGCCTCCCATTGGTCGATCTCGGCCATGGGCAGGAAGGTGAGCATGCGGAGGAACTTGATGACGTCAGCATCTGGTGTGGCAAAGAGGTACTGTGGGGTGGAGTGGGGTGGGGAGAAATCAAATTCCGGGGGAAAGGAGGGCAGGATCGGGGGGTTTGGAGGGGTTGGGGGAGGAAGAGAAAAGGGATGAAGACTTGACTGTTGTTACGGTCCAATGAAGCGAGTTCCAGTTGCAAGCGTCGTCAACTTGAAACCACTCCAGTTGGTTTGTCCTCCTGCTGCCAAGAAAGGGCAGCAAGATATGCTCTTGATCTGACCAGTGTTACTCCTTTTTTACTCCATCACCACTCATCACCACTCGTCACCACTCAAACTCACCTGGTCGAACTTGTAGGGAGAGAGCATGGCAGCAGAGAGCCAGACGGAGCCTCATTTCCGACTTCACAAACTTGCTGCCATCGCTGCGCAACAGCATGCGGTTACCACCACAGCAACCACGTACCACTGCTTACCACTGCGTACCACTGCTTACCCCTAATTACCACATCTCACCTGGTAGAACTTGTAGGGAGACAGCATGGCAGCAGACAGCCAGATCGCCCCACCCTCCGACTTGCCAAACTTGCTCCCATCGCTGCGCAGCAGCAGCGGCCAAGTTAGCCCAAACACACTCGGACCCCTCTCCTGCTGCTCCTGCGCTTGTTTCTCCTCCTCCTGCTGCCCTTTTTGCTCCTCATGTTCCTGCTGCTGCTCCGCGTGCTGCACATCTCCCCCTGTGGGCGCTCTGGAGGGAACAACACCAGCTGCCTGCAGACGTCGAAGCAGGTCGGTGCCGGCAGTGATGTTGCCCCACTGGTCGCTGCCACCCATTTGAACAGAAATTCCCTTCTCCTTGTACAGGTGAACAAAGTCGTAGCCCTGGGGAGACGGGAGAAGCGGGGGGGGAAAGGGGGGTATATCAGAGACGCCAAAGAGGAGGGGAGGAATAAGGCAGGGAAAAATAGTCGGTTGCTACCGGCAGTGATGTTGCCCCACTGGTCGCTGCCGCCCTTCTGCACTGTAATTCCCTTCTCCTTGTACAGATGCACAAGTCGTAGCCCTGGGGAGAATGAGGGATAGGTGGTGCAGAAGTCACACGGGCGGGTTAAAAAAGAGAGGGGGGAAGGAACGGGTCGGTGCCAGCAGTGATTTTGCTGCAGCCTGCTTACCTGAAAGCCCCCTCCCTCCCTCTTACCTGCAGCAGATGGTATGTGAATTCCATGGCAGCTGATGGTATGTGAATTCCATGGCAGCAGATGGTATGTGAATTCCATGGCAGCAGATGGTATGTGAATTCCATGGCAGCTGATGGTATGTGAATTCCATGCAGCAGATGGTATGTGAATTCCATGGCAGCAGATGGTATGTGAATTCCATGGCAGCTGATGGTATGTGAATTCCATGGCAGCTGATGGTATGTGAATTCCATGGCAGCAGATGGTATGTGAATTCCATGGCAGCAGATGGTATGTGAATTCCATGCAGCAGATGGTATGTGAATTCCATGGCAGCTGATGGTATGTGAATTCCATGCAGCTGATGGTATGTGAATTCCATGGCAGCTGATGGTATGTGAATTCCATGGCAGCTGATGGTATGTGAATTCCATGGCAGCTGATGGTATGTGAATTCCATGGCAGCTGATGGTATGTGAATTCCATGGCAGCTGATGGTATGTGAATTCCATGGCAGCTGATGGTATGTGAATTCCATGGCAGCTGATGGTATGTGAATTCCATGGCAGCTGATGGTATGTGAATTCCATGGCAGCTGATGGTATGTGAATTCCATGGCAGCTGATGGTATGTGAATTCCATGGCAGCAGATGGTATGTGAATTCCATGGCAGCTGATGGTATGTGAATTCCATGGCAGCTGATGGTATGTGAATTCCATGGCAGCAGATGGTATGTGAATTCCATGGCAGCAGATTGTATGTGAATTCCATGCAGCAGATGGTATGTGAATTCCATGGCAGCTGATGGTATGTGAATTCCATGGCAGCTGATGGTATGTGAATTCCATGGCAGCTGATGGTATGTGAATTCCATGGCAGCTGATGGTATGTGAATTCCATGGCAGCTGATGGTATGTGAATTCCATGGCAGCTGATGGTATGTGAATTCCATGGCAGCAGATGGTATGTGAATTCCATGCAGCAGATGGTATGTGAATTCCATGGCAGCTGATGGTATGTGAATTCCATGGCAGCTGATGGTATGTGAATTCCATGGCAGCTGATGGTATGTGAATTCCATGGCAGCTGATGGTATGTGAATTCCATGGCAGCTGATGGTATGTGAATTCCATGGCAGCTGATGGTATGTGAATTCCATGGCAGCTGATGGTATGTGAATTCCATGGCAGCTGATGGTATGTGAATTCCATGGCAGCAGATGGTATGTGAATTCCATGGCAGCAGATGGTATGTGAATTCCATGGCAGCTGATGGTATGTGAATTCCATGGCAGCTGATGGTATGTGAGTTCCATGGCAGCAGATGGTATGTGAATTCCATGGCAGCAGATGGTATGTGAATTCCATGCAGCAGATGGTATGTGAATTCCATGGCAGCTGATGGTATGTGAATTCCATGGCAGCAGATGGTATGTGAATTCCATGGCAGCAGATGGTATGTGAATTCCATGGCAGCTGATGGTATGTGAATTCCATGCAGCAGATGGTATGTGAATTCCATGGCAGCAGATGGTATGTGAATTCCATGGCAGCTGATGGTATGTGAATTCCATGGCAGCTGATGGTATGTGAATTCCATGGCAGCAGATGGTATGTGAATTCCATGGCAGCAGATGGTATGTGAATTCCATGGCAGCTGATGGTATGTGAATTCCATGCAGCTGATGGTATGTGAATTCCATGGCAGCTGATGGTATGTGAATTCCATGGCAGCTGATGGTATGTGAATTCCATGGCAGCTGATGGTATGTGAATTCCATGGCAGCTGATGGTATGTGAATTCCATGGCAGCTGATGGTATGTGAATTCCATGGCAGCTGATGGTATGTGAATTCCATGGCAGCTGATGGTATGTGAATTCCATGGCAGCTGATGGTATGTGAATTCCATGGCAGCTGATGGTATGTGAATTCCATGGCAGCTGATGGTATGTGAATTCCATGGCAGCAGATGGTATGTGAATTCCATGGCAGCTGATGGTATGTGAATTCCATGGCAGCTGATGGTATGTGAATTCCATGGCAGCAGATGGTGTGTGAATTCCATGGCAGCAGATGGTATGTGAATTCCATGCAGCAGATGGTATGTGAATTCCATGGCAGCTGATGGTATGTGAATTCCATGGCAGCTGATGGTATGTGAATTCCATGGCAGCTGATGGTATGTGAATTCCATGGCAGCTGATGGTATGTGAATTCCATGGCAGCTGATGGTATGTGAATTCCATGGCAGCTGATGGTATGTGAATTCCATGGCAGCAGATGGTATGTGAATTCCATGCAGCAGATGGTATGTGAATTCCATGGCAGCTGATGGTATGTGAATTCCATGGCAGCTGATGGTATGTGAATTCCATGGCAGCTGATGGTATGTGAATTCCATGGCAGCTGATGGTATGTGAATTCCATGGCAGCTGATGGTATGTGAATTCCATGGCAGCTGATGGTATGTGAATTCCATGGCAGCTGATGGTATGTGAATTCCATGGCAGCTGATGGTATGTGAATTCCATGGCAGCAGATGGTATGTGAATTCCATGGCAGCAGATGGTATGTGAATTCCATGGCAGCTGATGGTATGTGAATTCCATGGCAGCTGATGGTATGTGAGTTCCATGGCAGCAGATGGTATGTGAATTCCATGGCAGCAGATGGTATGTGAATTCCATGCAGCAGATGGTATGTGAATTCCATGGCAGCTGATGGTATGTGAATTCCATGGCAGCTGATGGTATGTGAATTCCATGGCAGCTGATGGTATGTGAATTCCATGGCAGCAGATGGTATGTGAATTCCATGCAGCAGATGGTATGTGAATTCCATGGCAGCTGATGGTATGTGAATTCCATGGCAGCTGATGGTATGTGAATTCCATGGCAGCTGATGGTATGTGAATTCCATGGCAGCTGATGGTATGTGAATTCCATGGCAGCTGATGGAATGTGAATTCCATGGCAGCTGATGGTATGTGAATTCCATGGCAGCTGATGGTATCTGAATTCCATGGCAGCTGATGGTATGTGAATTCCATGGCAGCTGATGGTATGTGAATTCCATGGCAGCTGATGGTATGTGAATTCCATGGCAGCTGATGGTATGTGAATTCCATGGCAGCTGATGGTATGTGAATTCCATGGCAGCTGATGGTATGTGAATTCCATGGCAGCTGATGGTATGTGAATTTCATGGCAGCTGATGGTATGTGAATTTCATGGAAGCAGATGGTATGTGAATTCCATGGCAGCTGATGGTATGTGAATTCCATGGCAGCTGATGGTATGTGAATTCCATGGCAGCTGATGGTATGTGAATTCCATGGCAGCTGATGGTATGTGAATTCCATGGCAGCTGATGGTATGTGAATTCCATGGCAGCTGATGGTATGTGAATTCCATGGCAGCAGATGGTATGTGAATTCCATGCAGCAGATGGTATGTGAATTCCATGGCAGCTGATGGTATGTGAATTCCATGGTAGCTGATGGTATGTGAATTCCATGGCAGCTGATGGTATGTGAATTCCATGGCAGCTGATGGTATGTGAATTCCATGGCAGCTGATGGTATGTGAATTCCATGGCAGCTGATGGTATGTGAATTCCATGGCAGCTGATGGTATGTGAATTCCATGGCAGCTGATGGTATGTGAATTCCATGGCAGCTGATGGTATGTGAATTCCATGGCAGCTGATGGTATGTGAATTCCATGGCAGCTGATGGTATGTGAATTCCATGGCAGCTGATGGTATGTGAATTTCATGGCAGCTGATGGTATGTGAATTTCATGGCAGCAGATGGTATGTGAATTCCATGGCAGCTGATGGTATGTGAACTCCATGGCAGCTGATGGTATGTGAATTCCATGGCAGCTGATGGTATGTGAATTCCATGGCAGCTGATGGTATGTGAATTCCATGGCAGCTGATGGTATTTGAATTCCAAGGCAGCTGATGGTATGTGAATTCCATGGCAGCAGATGGTATGTGAATTCCATGGCAGCTGATGGTATGTGAATTCCATGGCAGCTGATGGTATGTGAATTCCATGGCAGCTGATGGTATGTGAATTCCATGGCAGCTGATGGTATGTGAATTCCATGGCAGCTGATGGTATGTGAATTCCATGGCAGCTGATGGTATGTGAATTCCATGGCAGCTGATGGTATGTGAATTCCATGGCAGCTGATGGTATGTGAATTTCATGGCAGCTGATGGTATGTGAATTTCATGGCAGCAGATGGTATGTGAATTTCATGGCAGCAGATGGTATGTGAATTTCATGGCAGCAGATGGTATGTGAATTTCATGGCAGCAGATGGTATGTGAATTTCATGGCAGCAGACGGTATGTGAATTTCATGGCAGCAGATGGTATGTGAATTTCATGGCAGCAGATGGTATGTGAATTTCATGGCAGCAGATGGTATGTGAATTTCATGGCAGCAGATGGTATGTGAATTTCATGGCAGCAGATGGTATGTGAATTTCATGGCAGCAGACGGTATGTGAATTTCATGGCAGCAGATGGTATGTGAATTTCATGGCAGCAGATGGTATGTGAATTTCATGGCAGCAGATGGTATGTGAATTTCATGGCAGCAGATGGTATGTGAATTTCATGGCAGCAGATGGTATGTGAA